ATCCCTGGGCTGTACCGGGGTCCCCGGGATGTACCGGGATCGCTCCCGCTCGCACCCCCCGATCCCCACCGACCTTTTCCGGCTGCGCTCCTCAGGCCCCGCCCCTTCCTCTTCGTCACCGCGAGCTGATTGGCCCAGCCACGGCGAGGAGGCGGAAACCTTCCCGGAGGCCACGCCCCTCCGGCGGCGTGCGCGACCTCTGGCGGCGCCGCAGCGTGGTGACTTACGGCGGCCCATAGCAGCGGGTGCTCCATAGCAACGGGGGTCCATAGCAACGTGTTTCCACAGAAACGGGGCGAATTGCAGCGAGGACTCCTTAGCAACGGGGTCCATAGCAACGGGGTCCAGAGCATCGGGGTACCCCATAGCGATGGGCTCCATGGCAACAGCGTTCATAGCATCCGTCTCCATAGCAACGGGCTTCAAACCAACGGGGTCCATCGAGAAGGGGGGCTCTTGGCAACGGGGCTCCATAGCAACGGGCTTCATAGCAACGGATTCCATAGCAACAGGCTGCTCCCCTAAGCCTCACCCCCCCACGGCTCCTCACCATCACCCTGTGTCCCCATCCCTGTCCCCGTCATCCTGTGTCCTCCCTGGATAGACCTGACCCCCATGTCCCCATGGCGGTGGCAGTGTCCCCATCACCCCGTGTGCCCACGGGGGTGGCAGTGTCCCTGTCCCTCCCCACGAACCCATGTGTCTCCCCTCCCAGGGATGGTGTCCTCAGCGCCATCCCTGCCGCCATCCCTGCCACACACCTGCCGCCATCCCCGCAGCCCCAGCAGGTGCCACCGCGGTGGCCCGGTGGCCTCTGATCAGCCCCTGCAGGTGGCCACCGCCTGATCACAGGGACGCGCTAATGAGCCACCGTGGTGCCAGCGCGTCCCCAGTGCCATGGCAGTGTCCCCACGGCAGCATCTGCCACCGGCCATGTGCGGCTGCCACCCTGCAGGACACCGGGCCGTGCCGGGCACGCGGCCACGGCACACGGGCACAGCCTGGCCCGGACACGGGCACATGGGGACCTGGCGGCCTTTGGGGACACCAGGGCAGGGAGGCTGTCCCCAAAGGCGGGACAATCGTCGGGGGAGAAAGGGCTGAGCCTGGAATGTGGGGAGCTGGCCGGAGCCGGCGGTGTGTGGGTCCATGCACAGGTGCGGGTCCGTGCACAGGTGCGGGGCCATGCACAGGTGCGGGGCTGTGCTCAGGTGCGGGGCCGTTCAATATTTCGGGGTCCCCATCGCTCGCAGGTGACACTCCGTGCCTCCCTTTGGGGACAGCCCCGATTTAAGGCCGCAGTCCCCCCAGTGACCCCCCTGCACGGAGCCCCGGTGCCGAGGGAGCCCGGCGGAGCTCGGTGCCCCCCTCCCCGCCCCCCCCGTAGCCTCTCCCGGCCGGGTGTCTCGGGGTCCCGGTGGCCCGGGGGTGACACTGGCAGCGCCACGTGCGGCGGCTGCGGCGCCGGGACAAAAGCGACGCTGGGGACAAAGGGCCGTGACGTCAGCGGGGGCTGGGGGGCACCGGCTGACCCAGTTCGGCCGCTTTTGGGGGGTCACGGCGGGGAGCGGAGCCGGGGAGACGCTGCGGGGCTGGGGGGGACAGGACCCGTGTGTCCCCACGGGAATGGACTGGGGGGGTGACACCGGGGTCACAGCACCGGGAAACTGAGGCAGCGGAGAGGTAATTAAAGCCCGTTAAGTAATTAAAGAGAGTTAAAGGAGGAGGAGGGGGAAGTCCCAGGCATTGGGCACTCGGGGGGCAGGAGGAGGACGACGAAAGTCTCGGGAATTGAGGGGCAGGAGGAGAAGGAGGAGGAGGAGGAGGAAGAGAAGGAGGAGGAGGAGAAGAAGGAGGAGGAGGAAGGTCCCGGGTATTGGGGGGGGGGAAGGAGAGGGGGAGGAGGAGGAGGAGGAGCAGCAGCAGCAGCAGCGCGAGCTCTGCCGCAGCCCGGCCCGATGGGCCCCGCCACCCCGCTGCTGCCGGGGGGCTGACGGCGACCCCCGCCCGGCCCCGCCGCCCCGAGCTGGGCCCACCAACCCCCGGCTCCGCCGCCTTCGCCTTTTTTTTCTACCCTTTGGATTTTGTGGCCGTTTGGGGATTTTGGAGGGGCATTTTTTTACCTTTCCCCCCCCCCCCATCTCTCACGGATGCTCCGGGCCGGGGGCGCCGGGATGCGCTGAACGAGCCCCGGGGTTTTTCAGCGCCTCTCTCTCTCCTCCCCCCGGCCCCAAATTACCGCAACCCCCTCCGGGGGGGGGGCAACGAGAGCCGCAGCGCCGGGACCCCC